CCTACCAGAGGTACCCTTCAATCACCCACGAGGAAAGACAAGTCAGACTGAAGCAACAAAAAGAAAAGAAAAAATTTTTGTCTTTTTTTAGAGAGGACCCCGGCCTCTTTCCCGTGAAGGGCCCCCCCCAACCCGCGCCGCCCGGGGGCCCGAAAAATATGAAAGGGGGAGAAGGTGCTACTGTGCTACATATTTTCGTACTTTTCAGTCCATGGGCAAAACCCCCCCCCCCCCCCCCCCCCCCCAAAGCACTGCTGACTTTTGGGTATTTTCTCCGAGAGCATTCACATTTCAGGTAATAAAAAATAATTTTTTTTGTGCTTTTTAATCAAGCCTTCAGACTTTATGTGACTACTGATCATTCTAGTGAGGGGCATCGGTAGTCTAGTGGTTAGGCAACCAGACTCGTAATGGTGAGGTAGCGGGTTCGGGGGTTCGAGCCTCAGCTCGGTCCGACGTTGTGTCCTTGGGAAAGGCACTTTCCACGAACTTCCCATATTTGGCTCGCTCCTTTCGGAGATAGACGTTAAACTCGAAACGCCCCGCCTCTTAAAATACCCTAATAGTGTTGATAGAGGTGTTAAACCCCTACCCATATCATGTTACATTTGCCGTTGAAAATCAGATACAACAGCGGTTTTTTGTTGTTTTGTGTTTGTTCGTTTGTTGTTGTGGTTGGGTTTTTTTTTAACAAACAACATTGCATTTATTAACATCTGAGCTGTTAATATCAGAAACAACAGAAGCATGTTTGTAAGTTTCTGAGGTCAAGCAACTTCCAAGTGCTTGGCGTGCAGTTTATAAGAAATACGCTCGTACTACTACTTTATGTGCGCACTATTTAATACACTCAGTAGAGAGTAAACAGAAGAACATCGACACAATAGTGGCCATTTAGGGCTGGGAAAAGGCAACACAGACAGACAGACAGACAGACAGACAGACAGACAGACAGACAGACAGACAGACACAGCAACAGGAAAGTAAAGAAGTAGGACTTGCCAGGGGCGCCGTCCAACTACCCGCGATATACTACAGCAGTAGAACAGTACAGGGTCCATGTGAAGATTAGAAAAAGTGTCTATCCACTAGACACACCGGCTTCAGATTTGTACAAAATGACTTCGCTGTATCATGTCCTCGAAATAAGTTACAAAGAAAAATATAAAAGTGTTTTACCAAAATCCTGCTAAATTACGAATTTTAAATGAATCAACTTTCCATATTTCATTTTTTTAAAACATGTTTCTGACAAATATAAAACCGGCGTCTGCGGTGTAGTGGGTAGGCGACTCGCCGCCGAACTCAAAAGACCTGGATTTGATTCCCGAGTGGGGAGAATTTTTATAGAGGTTCTCGATCTTTCTTCTGGGACGTCGTATCCTGCTCATCCCAGGTTGGCCCAGGCAAGCAGGGCCGAAGCCCGTCTCCCAGACGATCTAAAATATATTCATGTAGGACATAAAACCACCTTCATAATCCCCCCCCCCCCCCTCCGGAAAAACCAAAAGCGACAAAACAAGACCAGAAAAAAGTAACAATAACAACGACAAACCAAAACTGAAGTTCCAGATCTATTTTTAACGAAATATCTCAAAATAACTTAGACCACCTTCCCTTTCGCGCGCCGAGTTCTCCCGAGGTCGCGTACACGGCACACATCCATTCGTCCCAGACCGCCATTTCACGGAGAGACCATTAAGTGCTCTTAGTTTTCCTTGGTTTGAGTAAACAGAGGCACACCGACACAATAGCGGCCATTTAGCACGAGGAAGGCACACAGAAACAACATACTTACAGACCCGAATGGAAAAAAAGTAGGACCAACCGGTGACAGAATAAAAACATCCGAGTAAGAGCTCTGCCCTGGAAAACATTGCACACTATCATTTTTGCGGAGACTGAAACACATTCAGTTTTCTTTTGCATCATTTTTATTTAGGTTTTTGTTGCTTTTTACGTTTGTTGCTGTTGTTGTTGTTGTTGTTGTTGTTGTTGTTGTTGTTGTTGTTGTTGTTGTTGTTGTTGTTGTTGTGT